ACAATTTACGCTCTCCCAGTCCATTACATAGTTACGTATGTACCTATCAATGAACTAAATATAGATAATCGACTGATTGCATAAACCATAGGTACTTTTTAGAATTAATGAACGCAAATAAAATTAAATAAAAATACATATTATTAATATTTATACTTGAAAGTAGTGATTTTTGTAGTGATAATGTTACTTCTTGGTTTGAAAGATCTTTTACAGTTTTTGTTTCCTTTTTCAATATTATACGTAATCACAAAAATTGTATTAACAAACTAAGTTAAAGTGGAGCAAAGAATTCCTTACTTATCAGATATCCTGATATTTTTTTATTAATGCACAACTCTTTATTTTATTTGTGTGTAAAATAATACAAGCAAGAAGTGAAAATCTTTTTATTTTAAAACTCATAATATAAAAAAAAATCCTAAATAAAACGTCATACTCGTTGCTAATTTTTTTTTAAGAAAAGTACAATACAAAAATTTAAAATTACAAAGACCGAAATTATTTTACTTGAGCGACAAGTAGCTCCATCTTTCAAGTGAAGCGTGAAAGTTTTCAACCAACAACGTTACTTCTGCCATCTAGCGGAATTTTCCTGCACCACGTAGGCTTTAGCGCACGAACAGTAGATGGAATTTCACGGAATGTAACTAGATATCGCTGTGAAACAAAATTTCAATGACACAAATAAAACAATTTATGAATTTAAACGGAAACTAAATATTATAATATAGATGTAGTAAACATTTAAGGGGCTTATCATTGATTAATTTGTCAACACGCAACATTTTCAATAATATAAAAATTTAAATATGCGTCCACAAACATCTACGCTGTAACTTTTTATTACTTGTGTGTTTTTTTACTTTTTAGTAACTACAGTAAAAACCTTTGTTCTTTGTTGTAATTTTAATTCCTAATATTGTTGTTGAAATAAATTGTTAATATGACGTAATAGTCAGTCTTCTAATAACATAACTGGGAAATTTAGATGGATGGATGTTTGTTCGAAGGTATCTTCTAACCTCAGAATGGATCTCCATGATAATTGTCATAGATGAAGAGCTTAGTCTGGAAAAACAAATAAGCTAGTTACTTATTTTTTTTTAATTTCCGCGCAAAGGAGCCGCTGACGACAACTAGTGGATATATTCACACATTCTCATATATAGAAACACTGTATTATTGAATGATATTTTACAATTTATTAGATTTAAAACTATTATGCTGATAAATCTGGCATTATCATAGGTTAGTTATAAAAATGCAGGTGTAGGAAGACCTTCGTCAAATTAAAGCAAATCCGAACATAATAAACTGCGTATTTCTAACCTCCAGTCGACTTTCTGACTATCGTCCGGAACAAATACACGACTGACCTACAAACAGTCGCGTACACAGAAAGATATATTATCTATCCCCTTCCTACCTCAACGCGGTAGCAGCGTGCGGTAGAGACGGCAAGTCTCGTTACGTTGACGAGCCTCTGCTCTCAATGTCAAGTTCACCTATTATTATTAGTACTCAATGCCACTTAACACACGCAAATATAGTAGCACGCGACGCTGGCAAAATATATACGTACACAAGAATATTTACATTATCTCGCTAATATAATACGATACAGGAAAACACTTCAATTCAACCTTTTGGATTTTTATTATTGTTGTTTAAAAATTTAAATTTTCTAGCTCTTTACATGTACGTTTTACGTTAGCAAATTAGATATTTAGTGAAAATAAGGTAATGGAATTTTGTCACATAAACACAAACTTGCCAGCCTTTCAAAAGGATAGAGTGACATGACAATTTTATTAAGAAATGGTAAACGATATGTTTACAGCGTCAGATAAATTTCTTCGCCACTTCTGCAGTAAATTAGCGTAATTAATGTCATCTAACATCAATAAATACATAAACAATATCAATATAATATCCCTGAATTAGATATCTGGACTGGAATAATATGAACTGGGTATAATGTTAAGATACTGTTATAAAAGTAATAAACTGTATGAGTTAATGTTTATTTTTGAAAAGTATATGATATTTATTAAATTTATTTACATACGTATTCTTGCAGCGGAAATTCACAAGCTCTTTACTAGCTCATACGGTTGAACGATATTAGTTACATTTATTTTTTAATCTCTTTAATTACTAGCTGTTGCTTACGACTTCGGCCGTGTTAAGATAATGGTAAAAGATATTTTTTAAATCGGTCCAGTCTTTTTTGAGTTACATATATCAATCTATACTATTATAATAAATCGTAAACACGCACTTCTTTGTTGCCTAAGTTGTCAGCAATTAAACTATATTTGTGAATTATTATTTTTTTAATAAAAAGCCCTTCACTTGGCTCACGCTTTAGACTATATATTTTCACGGCATTAAATTAAGGGGGTAAATATTTTGGATAAAAACCCTAATGTGAGAAAAAGACCATAAGTTGCTGCCAACATCAAGATATTGCCATAAGTATTTTGACATTTGCAATTGAGAATTTGACAAATAAATTTATAATTTTATGCGGATGAAACCGCGCGCGAACAGCTAGTATGTACTAAAATACAAATTTCTGTTTATAATATTAGTATATATAAGTATACAAAATAATTCAAATACATTTACAAAGTGCAAAGTTTCATTTAAAACGTCAAAACATTTAATTTTGTTTTAAACTTCTTAATTTTAATTAAAAACGAATATTGAAGAACCGTAAAAACCCTAAGTTGAATTGCATTGAACTATTCCCAAAATACAACGGGCGTCAATGGCTAGCTTTCAACGTAACGAATTATTCAAAAGGTGGTCGATAGCACAGACGGTGTTACTTCAATTAGAAAAACGAGGCGTATTTTACATGGATACCGTTTTCCACAATGTACAAGTACAATATTCAATTGTCAGACGTTAAAAACTAGGATAGTTATGTGGTCATGACTTAACTGTAACCTTAATTAGCAGAAGAATTCTCCTCTTCCTTTAAACATAATAAAGTTTCTGTTAGTTGGGTCTTAATTCGTAATTTTACCCTTAAGCTAATACTTTGATTGTTTGTTAGGTTTAAAGCAAAGTCTAGAATTTTAGTCGACATCGAATAATTAAATAACATATCACAAAAATCTGAAATGCAATGTAACCTAAAACTAAGTTATAAGAGAACCAAGTTATGTAAGTGCAAAGCAAGTTAGTGCGCAGTATGAAACTGAAGTCGCAGTTGGCACTGCGTAGAAGACTGGGTGTAACCTTCGAACGACATTCGGGCTCGGTCTGGAAGCGGCTGCAGCACGCAGTCCTGTCGGGGGGCACGTAGCCACGGTGCAGTATCGACCAGGCGGCCGTGACTCACGCCGCCCTTGCCCGACATTCAACCGCCCCCTGCACCCCCATCCCGTGCCCCCACCCGGCTGCACACGACGCAACCTATCCCGTGAATAGATGGCACGACGAACGACGGGAAAACGACAGCACAATATGCAATATCATTTTGTGGCAATATAAAATTTAATATTGCCATTATTTATAACATAATATAAATTATTAAAAAAGCAGGATGTTTTTAAATTAATATCGTCTTAATTTTATCCTAAGAATATATTATGATACCTAAATGTTACCAAAAGTTCAAGTGAAGAATTAATCTAATGAAAATATTTTATTTGAAAGGTTATTATACCTCGTGACACTTCATTGAGATTATCTTTACAATTATTAAAATTATATGAAACTAGAATAGAGGATTATATTTCAGATAGATTTTTTAAACATATTACGAGATGAAATACGAAACAATTTGCAGTAGATCGAAGAAAAATAGAAAAACAACTTAAGTAATTTGTAATGCAGTTACCAGAATAAATAAATTTTATTAACAAATATCCTTGATACGAACAATGTAATTCTATGCATATTTAATTTCAAATATGTAACCTTGCAATGCGTGAGATATAACTGAGTAGACACGTATTTACAGCGGTGCCGACCCTCGGATCCGCCACCCTACTAACTTTAATTCCGTTATTAGAGGCGAGGGACGCCAAGAGGGTTCGAATTTGGTACAACGCGTCTCATGTTTAATGCAAGGAAATGCTCGATCTTATACGAATATCGACTAGTTTTCTTCGAACTTACAAGCGAGACTATTTTTATCCGATCTGTTCAAATGTTATTTAGTAAAAGGTTTTATCTGAGTTTTCTTAAGTCTTGATTCTATTCTTGAGCTTTTAGAATGTTTTATATATAAAAAAACGTCCAAATTTAACAACATATAATAATTTATCCGACTTTTTCTTGTTTTAGCTTCACAACTCTTGGCGGCTTAGTAGCGAATTCTAAATGAAATTGTAACTGCTTGTTACAAATAAAGTATCTCGAATTCTTCTAATGAAATGTTATGCGAAAGGTGTGTGTATTTTTTTAATATTGTTGAATATTTTGAATTTTAATGTCAGTTATTTTTTCAATAGCATGTGTACTCGCTACTTAGCAGTCACGTTCAACGTAACTTTGGTTTAGGTCGTAATAGTGAACAATGACGAATGCTGACTCTCGTAGTAGCAGCAGTATGCACCGCACACCGTCGAGCACGGTACGGACGGCGTAGTCGCCGGCCGCGGCGTACACTTTCCCGTTGCGCGAGGGTATGGCCGGATCGATGCCGCCCCACGTTCACGGTCAACGCCCTCCGCTCTCCCGCCCGCCCTACGTTTCCGCGTGCCCCCCGCTCCGCGCGCACCGCAACCCGCCTCCGCCATCGCCCGGCTAAATATACCTTCATCACGACCCTTCAGTCCGCTCTTATGAAACACAATTAGCTCTACTATTTTAGGATTGTAAGCATTTCGTCTACACTGCCGACAACGCAATTGCATAATTTTATTTACCGATCTGTGTTGGTTATATAAGGCAATACGAGCTTAAAAATGTTGCTGATAATTTTAAAACAAATTAATGTTTTGTATTATGTAGAAT